TTCGGTCTCATCGAATGTCTTACTGAATGTAGTTACAAAAAACGAGGTGTAACGAAACTCCCGCTCGGGAACACAACTGTCCCATCTCCTCTGACACCCCACGTTGGCCATACTATCGAATCTTACGTGGATAGTAACACAATCGCTGTCTCTTTATGAGGAAAACCTCATGAAGGGATTGGACGATCGATTTCCGCTATTGTGTCGCTCTGTCCCTTTAACTTCTCTCAACCTTGACTCACTAATCTTCTACTAACTACTACTTCCACTTCAACCCTATGTCTAGTACTCAGTCGTCAATAATGGGGAAGGAGCTGCGACCATTACTACAAATGGTGCATCATCCGAGAATCGAGGTTCCATTCTTCCCTGCTGTAGAGTTCTCGAGCACTTCCAATCATAGCTCAAAGCTCGACTCGTCTTTCGGTCGAGCTCGGTCGAGTTTCACAATTTCTTACTTCCCTGCGAGCCTCGGTCGAGTCCCGTCGAGCCTCGAAGAGGCAGCTCGCATGGTATGCGAAGTCCGCATTGCGAAGTGTGAGTAAGGCGCCGCCACGGTGGTCGTTGTCCGCCGAAGGCGGACCGACAAAAATTAGCTTCACGTTCTTCCACTGCCCAAGGACCCGAAAGCCCACGGTGGAGTTCATATGATATTCGAGACACCAAGGTTCAGCAATCCTTGACATTGACGGTCAAATCCCGTCCACGCTCCCCCATTCTATAGTTCACTGAATATGGGTGTATACTTGAACTGTATCAGAATAGCCATATATATGATATTCGAGACACCGAAGTTCAGCAATCGTCGACATTGACGGTCAAATTCCGTCCACGCTCCCCAATTCTTTAGTTCACAGAATCTGGGTGTATACTTGAACTGTATCAGAACACCCACGGATATGATATTCGAGACACCGAAGTTCAACAATCGTTGACATTGACGGTCAAATCCCGCCCATGCTCCCCAATTCTTTAGCTCACAGAATCTGGGTGTATACTTGAACTGTATCAGAACAGCCACGGAAATGATACTCGAGACACCAAAGTTCAGCAATCGTTGACATTGACGGTCAAATTCCGTCCACGCTCCCCCATTCTATAGTTCACTGAATATGGGTGTATACTTGAACTGTATCAGAATAGCCATAGATATGATATTCAAGACACCGAAGTTCAGCAATCGTTGACATTGACGGTCAAGTTCCGTCCACGCTCCCCAATTCTTTAGCTCACAGAATCTGGGTGCATACTTGAACTGTATCAGAACACCCACGGATATGATATTCGAGACACCGAAGTTCAATAATCGTCGACATTGACGGTCAAATTCCGTCCACGCTCCCCCATTCTTTAGTTCACAGAATCGGAGTGTATGCTTGAACTGTATCAGAATAGCCACGGATATGATATTCGAGACATCGAAATTCAGCAATCGCTGACATTGACGGTCAAATTCCGTCCACGCTCCCCCACTCTATAGTTCACAGAATCTGGGTGTATACTTGAACTGTATGGGAATAGCCATGGATATGATATTCGAGACACCGAAGTTCAGCAATCGCTGACATTGACGGTCAAATTCCGTCCACGCTTTTCCACTCTATAGTTCACAGAATCTGGGTGTATACTTGGACTGCATCAGAATAGCCACGGATATGATATTCGAGACACCGAAGTTCAACAATCGTCGACTTTGACGGTCAAATTCCGTCCACGCTCCCCCATTCTTTAGTTCACAGAATCTGGGTGTATGCTTGAACTGTATCAGAATAGCCACAAATACGATATTCGAGACACCGAAGTTCAGCAATCGTTGACATTGACGGTCAAATTGCATCCACGCTCACCCACTCTTTAGCTCACAGAATCTGAGTGTTTACTTGAACTGTATCAGAACAGCGACAGATATGATATTCGAGACACCAAAGTCCAGCAATCATTGACATCGACGGTCAAATTCCCTCCACGCTCCCCCACTCTATAGTTCACAGAATCTGGGTGTATACTTGAACTGTATCAGAATAGCCATAGATATGATATTCGAGACACCGAAGTTCAGCAATCGTTGCCATTGACGGTCAAGTTCGGTCCACGCTCCCCAATTCTTTAGTTCACAGAATCTGGGTGTATGCTCGAACTGTATCAGAACAGCCACGGATATGATATTCGAGACACCGAAGTTCAGCAATCGCTGACATTGACGGTCAAATTCCGTCTACGCTCCCCCACTCTACAGTTCACAGAATCTGGGTGTATGCTTGAACTGTATGGGAATAGCCATAGATATGATATTCGAGACACCGAAGTTCAACAATCGCTGACATTGACGGTCAAATTGCATCCACGCTCACCCACTCTTTAGCTCACAGAATCTGAGTGTTTACTTGAACTGTATCAGAACAGCGACAGATATGATATTCGAGACACCAAAGTTCAGCAATCGTTGACATTGACGGTCAAATTCCGTCCCCGCTCCCCCACTCTATAGTTCACAGAATCTGGGTGTATACTTGAACTCTATGGGAATAGCCATGGATATGATATTCGAGACACCGAAGTTCAGCAATCGTTGACAGCGTGTCTAGCGACAGACTTGTGGTGTCTTTCTCAGATTATGGGCAAGAGAATCCTCGGTGGTCGAGCATCATAGCTCGGAACATTAATGTTTTGGATGCAGTTAAATACACACGAAGCTCGGAATGAATGTGTCGGTATTCAAGACTCTTGATTCAAGAGTGTTTCCTTGGATAAATGGAATCAAATCTAAGCGAACCTTTCGATATTCAAGTTTGCAAGTTTGAACCGTTCAAATTGAACTGGAAACTGTGAACGTTATGCTCGCAGTCTGTGAACATAACGTTCATTCACAGATGCGTACCTGACAGCTGAAGTCTCCCAATGGAAGACTTCCATAGACCTGGTTGAACCTAGTTGGCATTAGTCACAGTTAGTACCTATTGAGTCAATGGTATTGACCACCTTCCGGCATGTCGAGTCCGGCGAGTCGAGTCGAGGCTCGTCTGATTTTCGACGAGTCGAACTCGGTCGAGCCCGGTGGCGGAGAAATGTCGAGTCGAGTCGAGCCCTGTAGCTCGACTCGTCCGACTTTGAGCCATGCTTCCAATGTCCGATGGACTGGGCAATAGTAAGATATATTGCCTGGCCTGCTACCACTACAGCAGCATCCAACTACGACGGTTGCTCCTATCCTTCCTATGTCAGTTTTTCCTTCCCTTATCTGGACTTTCAAAATCCCCTGCTCTTCCAAGTAGCAGAAGTCGCCGCTGAGTCTGACCGAATAACAAGGATAAAAGTTCGATGGAGGCCAACAATTCTTGAAGCTATCAGTTAATATCGTTACGATGGAGGCGCCATCGTAACGATCGATCAGCATAAGACAAGCACGATCGAAGGGCAGAGACGAGGCACAACCTGCAGCAGATCTTCGACTGTGAACCTATCAAGAAGTTATTCGACCTTGGCATGCCTAGACAGATTGTATGTGACCTCAAGGCGACTGCTCTTTTGGTGGGTATAAAAATGGCTTCCTCCAAGCACCCATGTCCATTCTGTGTTAGCTCGAGACACTCGACCGAGCATGGTGACGGCAGGAGCTGGGAACGGCATATGGGAGACCTCAAGCAGGGGATTCGCAGTGTTGTCGCGCAGCCTATGATCCGGTGGGAAAAGTATCCCTTTGAAGTGCTCTCCCTTTCGCCGCTGCACATAATGCTTGGGATTGTCAACAAATCGTACAACCTTTCTAAGCCCTCTGCCGAGAGTAGCAGCAAGAACTCTATCTACGTGAGGTATTGTAGAGCTCTTCAGAAGGAAAATGTAAGACGGTTAGCCTACTCCAATGGTGCTCTCGAGGGTAACAGATGTTCGCGATTGCTCCGTGCTATGGCCTTGGATAATATACCTTCCGCTAATAAGGCTCTACCCTTTGTGGAAGCGCTGAAAGTTTTCTACCACTTGCAATAGAAATGCCTCGGGAATCGTCGATTGCCTGGCTGGAAAGCGTCCATAAATGAGTTTGGTACTGCATCATGCAGTCTGCATGGTATGCAACCGGTTTAGCTCCAACTCTCAAAGTCCACATGTTGTTCCATCATGTAGAGCAGTACTTTTCATATTACGAGTCTCTGCCAGATGCTGGGCTTGGTATCTCTTCGGGACAATCCGGCGAGGCTCTACACGCAAGACTCCAACGTGTCTGGGATCTGAGGTTCAGATCTGAAGTGGTGAACGCATTCACCTTCGGGGTTTGGGACCTCTTCATTCGAATACCATCGTCAGCCAAAGAGAAATCAGGAAGTTCTGTCGCCACTCCCGGTATCGGAGCAGTAGCGGGCCCTACGGGGGCAACGTCCAGTGGTTGTGACGGACCGAGGGATCTGAGTATAAAGTTGGCAGTCGGGCAAGCCCACTGGAAGGCAAGCAGCCGCTGTCTGGACGGTCCTTCATGCTCCATACAGAGCTTGAGGACTCCTTGCGATGCTGGATGGACTACTGCAAGGACCCTCAGCTGATTTCTCAATA